ATAGATAGATAGATAGATAGATAGATAGATAGATAGATAGATAGATAGATAGATAGATAGATAGATAGATAGATAGATAGATAGATAGATAGATAGATAGATAGATAGATAGATAGATAGATAGATAGATAGATAGATAGATAGATAGATAGATAGATAGATAGATAGATAGATAGATAGATAGATAGATAGATAGATAGATAGATAGATAGATAGATAGATAGATAGATAGATAGATAGATAGATAGATAGATAGATAGATAGATAGATAGATAGATAGATAGATAGATAGATAGATAGATAGATAGATAGATAGATAGATAGATAGATAGATAATATCTCTCCCTGAATGTCTTGAATTCCTCATTATTCGCCTTATGTTATTTTCTATTCATTCAGAGTGATGGCATCTTGTCGTAGTCATAGTTACAGTTTGTTACTCTCGGTAATTATAAGTGATCTTTTATTCTTCAAGAAATAAATTCATCCTGATGCATTTCTTTGCTTATTTTTCTACGATGAGGTATATAAAACCAGCATCCATGTACCTTGATATCATTCATAATTATACATTCAATAAGGTATATTTTCACCTTTTTTGTTTATGTTTTTTCTCTCACTGATATGCTAATCGTTTACACCATTAAGTCAGTGATTACATGTTTTTGTGTCGCGCACATTATTCCCAACTGATTTGCATAATTCTTATCCACTACAGGACTATTTTCCCTCTCGTTCAATCCTAAATTCAGCATTACTATTCATTAACATATTCATTCAATGTAAATATAATAAACAAATCCCTAGATTTTATCCAATACATATATATATATACGTATACAGATTTAAAGGATCTTAGTGCAATTACACTAATAATAAATGAAGATAATACATATATATGTAGTGTGAACAGTCATACTAAATGTTATGTACACACTGAGAGTGCACTAAGCTCTTTGCTTCTATATTAAGAAAGTGCTGGTTTGCAGGGATTTGACTGGTTTCCCGATCTCATCATCAACTGAAATCGTTTAGAGGACTATTGGAAAACCACCTGGAAGTACTGGACAGTCGGTTCATCCTAGTTTGGGACTCCACGTCAACAGTTCGAACCTCCAACTTTTTGTTTACAAGGCTAGCGAGCTAGTAAATCATTAAGCCAATGAGAGTCAGTCGATTGGTCCATGAATTTCAATTTCTTCCAATTCATGCTTTGTTGCGACCACTAGCGAATGTTATCCGTGACGAGTATTTGTCCTTTGGTATCCAACTTCCTTCCAAGTGTTATTCTGTATGGATTTGACTTAATTCAAGATTAATTAAGAAGTGGCTTCATTTAGGGAACCAATAGAAACCTGTAAGGCGTACTGGACAGCTACTTCGTTTTTATCTGGGATTTTTCAACAACACGCATCCATAACCCTGCAAACCAAGACTTGAAAATTAATCTAGTATTTTCTAGTGACTGATAACTGAACGAATATGCCAGAAATTCAAGTGGGAAGTCGTATTCACGGAGTTGTACCAAGTTGGGTTTGAGGACAAATAGTCACCGATAAAAGTGACTTGCAGTTGCACTACATATCATGAATTGTTAGAAGTTGAAATCCTTGGTCCAAAGCATTTCATCCTAGTAGTTGGATGTTACGAAGATACTGGGTTTGATCCCTGAGAGTTGGGTAATGGGTGCTCACTGATGAGATTTCTAACCTGGGACGAAACAACTGTCCCGTACCCCCCCCCAAGTTTTCAGTAGTTCGTAATCTATTTTTAAGTGATTCCTACTTGATATTGTGAAACTAATAATAAAAACCATAGAAAATATACTTATTACATAAGAGGTAACTCTATTTTAGTACACTAATCTAATAGATAAGACTTTGGAATTGAAAATGATATATACTTGGTTCAAGTTTCACTAAGGTCATCACTAATTTATCTCATTTGCATTTGTAGTGGGATGTAAGGTTTTAGGATTTGAAGTTTCCGTGGAGGTGATGTTGTCCACTCATTTACCTACCTGCACTGTTCCTTCGACTTTATTTACCGGCTAGCAAACTAAGCGAGATTTTAAGAGGGCATCAGCCAGGAATCGAAATGGAACCACACTCATGGTTGACAGACATTCTACCATTGAAACATCAATGAAGCTGAGAATCCCTAAATGCGATAAATGCGTATCTTCGATTGTACCATAATTGCATTTTATGTAACTGAAAAAAACAGCTACAAAACTGAATAACCAACTGAGAAATTTCATGACTAAGTTAATGACTTGAGGAAATAATTTTGTCATGAGGTGATGCTAACCATTAAAAATCTTATAACTCCACGTGCTAGGTGATCCACAACGAAAAACTCAGTGAAGTGTTTGAAGTGAATACTGGAGTAAGACAAGGCTGGCTGGCTGGCTGTCTATTATCACCGATGATATTCTTAATTGTGGTAGACTGCATTATGCTTCAGACTGTGAGGAGCCAGGAGACAGGAGTACGCTGCACTGATCGACAAGAAGACTCCAGAAGATATGAACTTACAGCAAAACGAAAACCGAAAAACTGGCTAGAGAAGCAGGTGGCAAAGACAGGACTCCAGGTGAACATAGAGCAGACGGAGGTAATGAAGCTAGCCAACCAATCAGTAGGAGAGACATTTAACAGAGGTCGCCTTCACTTATCTGGTCAGGAAGCGTCGTTTCAACTACAGGCGGAACGGATGAAGAGATGTCAAAGCAAGTCAGAATTGGAAAGGTAAGATACGCCTTCATCAACCTGAAATCAGTTTGGAAATCTTCTTCAGTGTCTTAGCGTAAAGAACAAGAGTCGGTCCTTTTTATACGGTCAAAGACTTGAACACTGTGTCACAAAAAGGATTTCCAAAGGGCGATTGCAGACTTTTATCAGCAGCTTCCTCCTTCGCTCACTCCACACTGAAGATCAAATGACCAGCCCGCCAGAAAGAATCAGCAGCCAGAAACTCTGGGAGTGAACCAACCAAGCGCCGATTGTTCAACATATATGTAGGAGAAAATGGAGATGGGTCAGGCATACGTTGATGAGGTCGTTGAATGATATCACTTGTCAGTCCCTCTAGTGTAGTCTGAATGAGAAACGACGAGTGGGCCATCGGTATAAGGGTGACATAGAGAACAGTATGTAGTGAGGATGAGACGAGAGATAATGGGCGATCATGTATCCAGCTAAAGAGGACAGCAGAGAAGAGAAAAAAGTGTAGATGTGCTGCTGAAGACCTACGTTCCAATCAGAACCTAAGGGAGTAATAATAATAAAACAAAAATAATTGAGCAAAGAAGAATATCTCCCTCTCGATAATTTCCTCTTCTGGCTCTAGAGTTATACACGTATATGTTTATATACATAGAATATTCTAGATTAGTAGTCAATAACAATATTAGTGTTTTTTTTTAAATAATATTGATTTGTTAACTAAGATCACAATGGAGTTACAGTTCATTAAAGATGTCTAAAATATAATCACAAACAGAATATAAACTAAAATTAGGACAATTCCACAAAAATTCATGATCATTCAAACCTAGATGGCCAATGGGGTAAGGATAATGTCTGAACTAACTTCTTTTGGATACACAAATTAGGCTTGTTAATATGGATCCCGACAGCCAGCCTTAGCAATATTTAGTAGTCGAAGTCTTAAGGCAAAATTGAGATTTGTTGGTTGGTATGCGGTAAATGACCCTGAAAGCTGCCTGGTTAACGTCAGTCTTGTGTTCTGTATCCACAAGATGAAATAGAATAGCGCTTCGAGTGAATTTTGTTGGTCTTTTACTTAACCCCGCAGGATGATATTCGAAAATCCGATGAGAAACACGCCTAATTGTATGGGCAATGTAACTGCTTCCACAGGAGCAGTTACACTTAGGCGTGTTTCTCGTCGAATTTCCGAACATCACCCAGCATAGTGGTTAAGTAAAGGACAAACAAAATCTATTCGCAGAGCTATTTTATAAACTGTGTTGATATTTTAATTAATTTGTGAATTGTATTTCGATATTGAAGTCAGATAGGATTTGAAAAGCAAGACTGGCCCTCACAATCCTGAAATCTGTGTGCAGATCTCAACACAAGGATTAAGTTGCGAATTTTAAACGTTAGTTTCAAGTCAAGTCAGTAATCCTACATGGTCCAAAGACTTGGCAGGCAAGTGACCAAAAGCATCTCCAACAGGCTATTCCAGACTATCATCAGAAGCTATCTCCGGCCTATACTAAAGTTCAGATGATGTGTTGGAAGGGCTAATCAACAAGGAATTTTGGCAGCAAACCTACCGAAAACAACTAACTTATTGGATTTCATCATGAGCTGACATTGGTTAAACAACCATTGTAAAACCAGCTGGGAGTGCTGGAAAGCTGTTTCATCAGCCTAGTTTGGGAATCGTCAGCAGTACGCACTCACCGCCAGAGTTCGAACTCACATCCTTCCAGTTACAAGACAAGCTCGTATACCATTAAGCCACTGCGACCCAACCGATCCAATGGCCAGCCCATGAATTCTAACTTTTGCCAATTCACGATATAGCGCGATCACTAGCCAATGTCTTCGCCGAGTATTTGTCCTCACACCCGATGGTTTCCAATGGTTCTCTAACCAATGTCAGCTCATGATGAAACCCTGTAACCAGTCAAATCCCTACAAACCAAAACTTGAACTAACTTATTATCCCACAAACATGGAGATAAGCTGAACATATGTGGAGGAGTCAATTTGATTGACATAACACACGAAGCCCTTAAATGAAATGTGCATAAGAATTGATGAGATGGGCTTAGACGCGAGGGTGACGTGAAACAAAATCATGTGAAGGAGAAATGAAGGCTTATAGACAATCTTGAAATCATATGAAAGAAGTAACAGAGAACTTAGTTGAATGGAGTCCAATGTTCAGTTCATAATGCAAAGAATGAATCATAATCATAATCATAATAGAAACAACAAGATTTCATATTTACACTGTCTTACCTTGATCTAATCCAGAGATAATTAAATTTCCTAATAGATGTGTACACTGTGGATTGAGATTTTTCATTAGAATTCTCCAGGGTAAAGTAATATCTCTCCAAGTGTATTCACTTTTACATACTAAAATACACAAAACAATAGAGTGAAAAAAAAATTATGTTAGTCATTTTACGCCTTTCAACTACAAATAAACACAGAAGTACATAGATAGATGCATAAATATTAAATGAAATCAAGGCAGAACATCCGCCTGCCTGATATTCATAGCATGATGAAAGCGCGGTGCTATTATTGTCTTTATCATTTTTCATTGGGAACATAAGACTTCACTGGCAAATACCCATTTCACCTTATTCTTTTCAGTTTTCTTTGGCTGGTTCCACAATCACTTACAAGCTGTCATCTCCTCTTTTTGCACAGTCTTCTTCATGTCACAATAAAAATGGATGTCTGCCCCCTTCGTTTCCCATCTGCATTACTCTGGACACACTGACGGGTGATATCACTCAATGGTCTCCTAAGCGTATCTCCAAATCACTCAACATTAAGCATTAAAAAGCTACGACAGCTCTTGATGGGAGACTGTATTAGTCCTTTGAAAAATGCTTCTAAAGTGGCGTGGACAACTTCCGTGAACCATGTATTGAAGCAGTGACTAATTTCACATTAGGGTTTAAAATTCGGGTCTCGTTTCCTATGCTCAGCGGAGCAGATTTTCATGGAGTGTTTCGAAGTAGTAAAGATTTGTCTTACTTCAGCGACCATAGGGAGGGGGCTTTGACATGCTCATTTGTTAACTCATGGAAAATTTCCATTGTAACATATAGAAAATCAAAACAAGTGATGATTCAGCGAAGAGACTCTTTTCAACAACGAATTTATCATCAAGCTGTACAATCGTATGTGTATATGGTTTTTAAGAAGTTATATCCGCTGAGGGAATTGAATCATAAGTGTGAATGCATAAAATAATAATAATAGTAGTAGTAGTAGTATGAAATGCAATTAAAACTAAAATGCTTGTGATTATAATCATAGTTAAGTGTCAAGTGGCAAAACAAATTAATGTCATATATAGAATAGTTCATAGGATGGGTAGAACTTGAAAAAGGGGGTGTGCAATTATAGGATTAGTAGACAAGTCGAATAAAACAAAAAACGTTACGTAATATTGTGTGAAATTTAATAGCATAGAATTTATCGTTGTAAAAAAGAATTGATTTAGAATGACAAATGGAAAAAGTGAAATAATACCGGGGACAGTTCAAAGTGAGAATAGTAATAGTGGTAACAATTGACATTGTAATAAAGGAAGAGGATACAAACTGAATAAACAAAATGAAAAAAATTGGTAGAGCCAAAATATGATTGGGGATTACCATATTTTAGCGTAGAGGGATTAAGACCATGAAAGTTGGAGGGGTTGAACGAACTTCTTTCTGTACACAGAGATTTGGCTTTTCTGTTTCGCTAGCCAAAGATGGCTTCAGCAATACAGATGAGTTGGGTACTTAGTGATTACTCTTTGCCTTGTAGATGACATTAAAGTCAGAGGCTATAGAGATAGGGTGATCATTATTGACCAGATGTTCCGTTCAATGATCGCGCTTCTTATTGCTCCACTTCCACCTCTTCGTTACCATGCAGGATAAATTCGTTGAAAAGAGTCTCTTCGCTGAATCATCACTTGTTTTGATTTCCTCATTCATCCCGTATGTAATTTAGACAATGATAATCGTCCATTTTAATGAAAGCTGTGACTTCTATTAGATTCTGACTGCTGATTGTTGGAGGTGGTGGTGGTGGTGATTAGTTACCTTCATTACCTGTGCCTTCTGTATGCTCATTTGAAGTCCGCTTTTCACTGACTCCTCTACGAAATTGTTGCAATGTTCACACACTGAAAATGCTATAATTAAATAATATCAACTCATCCAGATTTGAAATACTCGAATCAAATTATTACAAAGGCCATAAGAGTCACGTTTTTAAGCAGAAAAGTTATATGGAGAAATGAGTTCTTTCAAGATTATAGATGCACCTTACCAACAGACACGGTTTCTATCTAAGCCAGGCACATAGCATCAATCACATCTAACTTTTTAAAATGAATTCAGAATCATCGACAGTACGCACCCACACTATGGGGTTCGAACCCATGACCTTCCGGTTATAAACCAAGCTCGTAGACCATTTAACCAATGGGACCCGATTCAATGGACAGTTCATGTATTCTCCAAATGAAAACAGTCATCAAGAATCTGCAGAGTGCATGTTTCTTAAGCCAATTAAGATTAGTACTTCTCTCCTTTTTTTACTTTTCTTTATCATTTAGAGAACCATTGAAAACCAGTTGGGAGTATACTAGACAGCTGTTTCGTCCTAGTCTGTAACTCATCGGAAGTATGCAACCACCACCAAGCATGGAATCCAAGATCTTCCGGTTAAAAAGCAAGCTTGCAGATCATTCAACCACCGGAATCTGACTCAATAGCCAACCTGTGAATTCTAACCTCTACAAAAATTCATGGCTTTAGCGCCAACAACCTGCCAATATCATCGATGGCGAGCATTTGTCCTTATTCCCGGTCAGTATGAACACTTAATATTAATGACTTATCAATAAAACTCCAGGAAACTCTGTTCTGTAGCCAGTTTTCACCAGTGAGTATCGGATTAATTTTCAAGAGTTGGTTTATAAGAATTAGATTTGTTTTTCTTTTTGAGTATAACCAAGGATTGATATCGTCAGTTAGAGGACCATTGAAAATCACCACTGGATTACTGAGCAGATGTTCCATCAGCCTAGTTTGGGAACCATCATCAGTACGCACCCACACCTCTAGGGTTCAAACCCAAAACCTTCCTGTTACAAGGCAAGTTCGTATACCATTCAGCTCTGGAACTTTCTTTACTCAATGAATTCTGACTTCTACCAATTCGTGGTTTACCACGACCACCAACCATCCTCACACTTGACTGGTTGGACATCACCGGTCACGACTTCTCACTTGAACTTCAGGAAACTCTGTCCTTTAGCGAGTCAGTAGCGAGCATTAATTTTCAACAGGTGATTTGTAAGGATTAGATTTATTTTTACGAGTTTGACCACAGATTGTTATCAATTAGAGAACCATTGGAAGCCAGTGATGAAGTACAGGAAAGCTGTCTCATCTTATTTTTGGAATCATCGGTAGTACGCACTCACGCTATGGGGTTCGAACCCACGACCCTTCAGTTACAAGACAAGCTCGTAGACCATTTGAACCCCATAGTGTGGGTGTGTGTACTACCGATGATTCCCAAACTAGGCTGATAAAACAACTGACTGTCCAGTACTCCAGTGGTGACTTTCAATGATTCTCTCTCTCTAACTGATGATACCAATCCTTGTTCAAACTCGTAGTAACTCTCTTTAGATAAATTACAATGCATACTTACTGATTTCATTCAGAGAATAGTAGTATTATATATGCATACATTTACATTAGACAAGCATAAAGTTCATCTGTCTTTTGCTTTGTTTTCAAATCTGTATAGACACATATATATGGATGGGGTAGGCTAAACAGGTAAGATTTATTCATTAATGCTTTTGTTTACAAATGGAATTCATTATTAATCTGCTTACTAGGTTATTTATTTATATGAGACAATATACTACTGATTGACTGGCTGAAATAAGTAGTTGGATACCATTCACACCAAAATATTAGTGAGTTGTAATCTGATAGAGGTGATGTAAACACACCAGACAGGGAAATTTCAACTTGAACTGTAGGAACTGTGAATTCGCCGCGTCTAGCTAACCGGCTGGTTCCAAATGATTTGACATTCTGAGCTAAGTCAAGCAGGCGAAACGGTCATCTAGTGTTTAGATCGTTACAATTTGCCTAGGAAGTACTACTGGGTTAAATTAGTGGTACCTAACTACTCATCTCAACCGATTAGAAGTGTATATATAACATCACGTTTCTATGCCTAATTTCTTGGTCACCATTTCCAGCATCACAAGCAAATCATATATTATAAATAAAGGAAAGAGTAGTGTAACTTCAGCTGGATAGGTTTTGGAAAGAAAAATTTGTAGAAAACTAAGAAGTATGCCACGATCTTTCTAGATTATTGGACGAACACGTTATCTATCCGATAGCTGATAAAACTCTAAAAAAAACTCCCTCCAATTTGTTCGCGCCACAGATGAGTTTCAGAAAGCGAAATTCGGAAGGTGTTTTTTTGTTTAATTACTTTGTGCTCCGAATCGGACATTTGGTTCCTAGTCGAAGGACTTTAGTAGTCGCGGTGTTGTTTCTTTTATGAGGTGGAATTGCTCTAGTCTCACGCCCAACCTTCCCTCTTTCTCAGACTTATTAATTTCTAGGAAACTTACTGAGGTGTAGGAGTGCTTCGGCCAGGAGTCGAACCCTGGATCAAGTAACTGGCTCTTTGGTATCCTATCATTGAAATACAGAATGTGAAGGTAGACAGTGATCAATAAAATTAAATACTGTTCATCATTAGCAGTCGGATGTTGTGGCTATTCGATTCCTACTAACATCATGATTCATTGGTAAAATATTCAGAACAGCATGTTCTGCCTTTTCAAATGACTGGTTGAAAATTCTGCACATCAAACAGTGGAACTTACTATCCAGAACAAAGTGATCCAAGCATCAGAAGGCTTATTCTTTGGTTTGGAGTTGATTCGATCAGTCGCATACCCAGATTTTACTCAGTTCAGAGAGCCGAGACTATGGTGAATCCTTCCTTACAGGTAACCGTGTTATTTACAAATGACCAATTTTATTCAGTTCATTCAATTAACTAGTCAAAATTCGGTTGGTTCCAACAAACTGGGCTCTTTAACCTTCGTTAATCCATCCTCATCACTGACCAGGTCAGTGTCGAAAGGAGGAATCAGTCAACTAGTGTATATAGACAGACCATTTCGACCTGGTTAGCTTACACTGCTGTTTGACGGGATTTCTTACTGACTACTGTCATCGATAAGAAGTGTATTTCGCTCGCTTTCTTGATTGACATTTATGGAGTCACGTAGATTATACCCTGGGTTATTATGAGAATAACGAATATGATAATATTTTCATACCGTGATCTGA